TCTCCCTCTGACCTTATCTCTCTCTCTCTCCTGAGAACATGTACCCTTTGACAAATAATAATAATAATAATACTTTCTAGTGGAAATGAAGACAAAACAAATAAAAATATAGTATGTCGAATAGTAAGTGCTATGGAGAAAATGTGATGGGATAAGGGGACATAAAGTGCCTAGTGAGAGTGGTAGTAGCACTTTACATAGTTTAGTTAAGAAATTCCCACTGAGGAGGGTGGAGCTCAGCAAAGATATGAAGAACATGAGGTGGTGAGCCAAGTAGTTGTGTGAGCATGCATAGACTTCAAAGAAGCTAGAGTAGCTGAAGTGTAAAGTGAAGAGGACGAACTGGAAGAAATGAAACCAAGTGATATAAGCAATTTAAGACTTTTTAGGTCAGTGTGATCATTTGTTCTCACTTGGGTAATGCTATAGACTTGGTGCCAGAAAGACTAATTAGAAAAAATCTACAGACTATACTGCCTTAGCTGGAACAACTTGGGCCAGAGTGGTATGAAGCATATGAGAGAAGTTCAAAAAGTGTGGAAAATAAAATGGAAGTATGAGTTTATTTTAGTGTAATTTTTTTTTGAAATACATGCATAGATTTTCATCATATGTATTTTCCAAGAACTTTGTGATGGTCATCATATAGTTACAGTTTAAAGGTTTCTACAGATCGGTAGATCTCTGGAACACTGATAAATTTCCAAATTCTCAGTGTATTAATAGCGTGGGTTCTGTTACCCAGGGGAGTCATAAGAGTGAAGAAGAGAAGCAAACTCAGAGTACTCAGGACTATAATTAGGTATAAAATCTTGCTGCCAAATAAGATTGCAATGCTTTAGCTTGGGACACAAGACATTTCTTATAGTAGTCATCTCCTAAGATGGACCAGCCAAGGATTTAGGGTAACAAAGTGAAATACTCATAGATGTAATCATTTTTTTTTGTTCTAATACATAACAGAGCCTCTAGTGAGGGTTTACAGGGACAGTATGAGGACAATGGGCATGCACATTATAAGGATGGAGAGGTGTGTTCAAAAGATAAAGGCAAGGGACAATTTAGATGGCTTCACAGAAATTCTTAGAGTCAGCAAAGCATATGTGTGATTTGATTTTGACAGTGGTAAGGGTAGGCTAGCAAATCCTTCTTTACAACTCATCATTCTCTTAACTTGTGACCTTTAAGCAGGAAAAGTTGTCTTCTGTATAAGACTTCCAAAATACCCAACAATTTTTGAGAGCTATGGCATTTTCTCATATGTGAACTTAACCTGAAGTTCTAGTGCTAGGAGTTCTAGCTTTAGATCCATCACCTGCCTTGAAGTAGTATCAAACCAAAAGTGTGCTCAGGAATCGGGAGAAGGAAAATACATAACTAACTTATAAGCAGCCCTTCACTCAGTCATAAATTTCCATTTTACCAGATTGAGGGGGCAGGACAGCCTGATATGCTTAGGTCATTCATTCTCTTGGTTTCAAAAAGGATAGGGAAGGCAGATAAGGTTTTCACATTTTCTTCTTTCTGTGTCCTCAAAATAGTAACCATAAATTTCTTTAATGAGGGGCCAGCGAGTGGTGTGGTGGTTAAGGTGCTGGCCTCTCACATGGCTGATCACAGTTTGAGTCCCGGACCTGGTAGCTTGAAAATCACACTGGATTCTTGGTCTTGCATACCCCAAATCCAAAGAGCAGAATGGAAGAAGGGGTTGTAGCATGGTCATTCCCCCAGAAACTTGAATTGTAGTCATCCAAGCGAGAGTCCAGTTTTTAACCACCATACCACCTGCTGGCCCTGAGATAATATTTCTTTAAATATTACTTCTGTTCCAGTTTTCTCTCCTTTTATTCTGAGATTCCAGTGAAATATAATTTATCTTCTCACTTTATTATTTTTCATTATTTGGTATCCATTTACTACATTCCAGAAATTTTCTCCTCATCTATTTTCTAATTGACTTATTCTCTCTTAACTCATTTCAAATTTTCTGTGAAATCTATCTAGTGAATGTCATTTTACTCCTTAGTGTATGAATTTTCATTTTTATCAAATGTAACCATTCTTGTGTATACTTATTCTTTCTCTATTGAAATTTTCAATCTTATAATTTATTTCTTTGAAAACAATAAGCTAGATGCAGTCACTGATTCACATTAATGAAAAAGAAAATCATCCAGGAATGTGCTGAAGCCAAGTACCTTAGTCAGAAACCCCTTGAGGTAGGTTAGAAATTGTAGGCAGGGCTGAATTAAGAAGGTTTATGTGTGACGAGTGTGCTGGGCATTTGCTTTTCAACAATTCGGAGAGTTGACATGTAAATATTTTCTCAAAAATACTTCAAGCCATACTGTTTCTGCTGTTATAGAGTCACAAACAAAATTATACAAAATTATAAGAAATATTTTGAACATTATATTTGTAATTCAGTATTTTGAAATTTTGAAAGTGTTTATTAACTGTCAAGAACTATGGAGTATGAGCATTTTGATATGTAAGGTAAATGTGGGAAAATGTAACAATAAATAAATTAAATTTTAAACAGTTATATTCCTTATTTGCAATGGTCATAAAAGGGATCAAAGGTGTTAACTATGTGGTTTCTAATGGCAAGCTCGGTCTGATACGTTAAGGAATGAAACGATGCTGTGAAGATAAACAATGCAGGACAGGGCCAGTGAGTGGCATGGAGGTACTAGAGGAACTGGAGGCTTCAATACCATGCTAGGCACTTGTGCCTGTGTGTATGTGCTCAAAATCCCAAGAGAAAACTGAGCGAGAAGAGATTGAGGAATGGCTACATCCTGGGAGTGGGGAGGCGACGATTTAGAAGATTTATCACTTTCTCTCTCTCTCTCTCTCATGAGTACACACACACTACAGGAAAATAAAAAAGCAGTTTATTAAAAAAGCCAAAAGTGCAGACAAAATTATAGAAAGTATAAATATTATTAATGCATAAAGCCAGAAGCAGAATTAAAGTTGGAGCTTCAGAAAGTAGAATTCGGGTGAGGGGCTGCAGCATGATTGACCAAGAGGTGTGCTGTGTGTGTGTGTGTGTGTGTGTGTGTGTGTGTGCGCGCGTGCATGCACACGCTAACCTGATACAAAGGGCTAAAGATAAAGAAAACATGAGAGTTTGGAGTATCACACTAAAAGTATCAGTCTTTAGACATTGGCTTGCTGCAAGAAGTAGGCAAAACTAGATTCCAAATAAGGAGCCAAATTATTCTCATTAGTCTCAGTGCATTGGCATGTAGTCAGGGGGTTAAATATTGTCATCTATGGCATATATAATTTTCAAAAGAAAAAAAAGGTGGTATGAATCAGCACAAGACAAATTCAGAGTAATGTGGGAGCAATTCTATTGTGAGAGAAAGAAAGCTGGAGAAAACAGGGGTATATGAGCAGCCTTGGTATCACTCCCTCTGTTTCTGTCTTTGCTCCATGCTTTCCTCAGGCCCACAAACACAATACACCTAAATTGTCAGTTCATCAGAAGAACTTAGTGAAGGGCAGGCTATAGAACCAAGAGGTATGATTTCAAATTCTGTCTCTGCCATTGTACTGGCCTCGTGACCTGGACTCTGTTCATCTAAAAGAAGGGGATGATAATGATTATACTATCTCATAAGGACTAAGGACAGTCCAGCAATTAATTGATATGAAGCACTTAAAATACTGTCTGATGTATAAGAAGTTTTATTGGTTTTTAAATTTCATTTGTTTGTTTCTTTAAGAGTATTTTGCCTTAGGGTGCATGCATCCACAGGAGAGGGAGACAGAGACAGTAAAAGAGAAAGTGAGAAATCATCCCCCTTGGGGATGGCCACACAGCAATCCCTTCTCCTCCATTCTCCTCCCAGGATCTTGGGCACACATGCACTTGCACCTGCGTGATTTTTAAGCTGCTGGGTCCAGAACTTGAGCCACAGTCAGCCAAGTGGGAGTCCAATGACATAACCGCTACCACATCTGCTGGTCCCAGGAAGTTTTTAATTAATACTTATACCACAAGATTAAAATCAGGAAAAGAATCAGGATGGTCTAAGTTACTTCTTATAAGTGTCTGCCCAATGTACTCTGGTCCAAACTATCAATACCATAGTAAAGATTCCCAGGAACATAATAAAAAATGCAAGATAAATTTCTTACTGACCTTTAAGAAAAATTACTCTTTATCTGTGACTGAATTGTGTTTAATTCTAATTGATATACAGGGGAGAGCAGACATGAATAGAGAGAACAGAACAAGAAACTAAATATATACCTCAGGAACATTAAGCATTGGGGTAAAATGAGATCAAAACAATAAAATTCTGAAGAGCATGAACAGGAGTTCTTTTTATACAATCTGAAATTTTAGGATGACATAACACTTCTTGAAAACAGAAGGAGAAAAACATGAAGGCAAACATGCTCTTTGATCATGCAGGAAAATACTAACTCCACAAAATATTGCTATAATGGGAAAATTATCGCTCTGTAATTATAGATTAAAACCACTTCATACAAAATCCTTTCTCCTCTTACATTGTCCTATTACTGGGAGTCTAAATTTCTCTTAATTTTCAAATAATTGAGCAATAAATCCTGCATTATTACCATTGGCGTCAGAATGTATGACATCCACAAACTTGGCGTCAGTATAATCTAATCTGTTGTAAGATGGTTTTCCAGAGAATTTTGGCCCAGCAGGATCAAGACCTGAAAATCAAAAAGGAACTATCAATCTAATCATAGTTTACTACAGAGCCCATTATGTCACCCTTCTATTACATTATTAAGAAATCATCATTGGGAACCAGCAGTTAGCGTAATGGCTATGTCGCTGGACTCCCATGTAGTCGACTGTGGTTCGCGTCCCAGACCCGGTGGCTTAAAACTCACGCCGGGCGCGTGTGTGTGCGTGCCCAAGATCCCGAGAGGAGAATGGAGGAGAAGGGATTGCGGCGTGACCATCCCCTCTGGGGGGTGATTTCTCGCTTTCTATCTCTATGTCTCTCTCTGTCTGGTGAGAGCACGCGCCTTATAGCGAAAACCCTCTCAAAAAAATAAATAAAAAAATAAAAAATAAAAAATGGTAAGTGCTGGCAAGGCAGTGGTCAAAAGGGATCCTTCCTACATTGTTGGCAGGAATGTAAATTAGTGCAGCCACTGTGTAGAACAATATGAAGGTTCCTCAGAAACCTACAAATAGAATTACCATATGACCCAGCAGTTTCATTCTTAGGGATCTACCTAAAGGATAGGAAAGCAGTCAGAAAACGCTTGCACATCCTTGTTTGTTGCAGCATTATTCACAATCACTAGGACATGGAATTAACTCAAATGTCCAAGAACAGATGAGTGGATTGAAAATATGTGGCACATGTGCACTATGGAATATGACTAAGCCATAAACAATGAGACCTCAACATTTGATACAAAGTGAACAAATATGGAAGATTTACTGCTAAGTGAAATAAGCCAGGCTATGAAAGACAGGCATTGTGTGTCCCTGTTTATTATACACAGGGCGTCTGCACTCTGTGGCAGAATTTAAAAGACTGGAAGGTATAATAGCAGGGAGTGCAATTGTAGATACTATAGGAAAGGGTGGATAAGAGAGGGTGGGAGGGAGAGGATGGGAAAATACAGCTTTAGTTTAAACCTGTCCAAAAACACAGTAAAAGGTAAATGAAAATGAATGAATCACAAGTATCTTCATTATTTAAATAATATTATTACCGACCTTCTGATGTTGTCCAGTTAACTATACAAAAGATGATACAGCAAAATATTACAGAACTGTTTGAGCATTTTATTTAAGAAATAATGAGGAGTAAACCAGTAATAGCTTTATATTTAATAAAGATTCCTTTTTCTGAGGAAAAAAAAATGACTGAAGACCATCTGATCCTTTCTTGAATTCTGTGCCTTAGTTCATTCAGGATAGAGCTATGGATCTAAAATGCTTTGGGAGTTCCGAAGGTAATTTGGGGGATAAAACATATTTATTACTTATTATGATCTTAACATTCATTCCTCACAAGAGTGTCTCACACAATCTTAAAATAAAAATATATTAAAAATTCCATAGAATGTGTGTATGATTCGGGTGTATTTTATTCTAAATAAAAATTCTAGGCTTATCACTTTCTGGAGAGTATCATAAAGATAGAGAAAGAAATAGCATTCAATTCCTCCAGAACATCTATGCAATAGAGAAACAATGACCTTAAAAAAGATATTTAAAGTGTAAAATATAATGTTCATTCCAGGCCCTTCTATTATTCCATATTTTATTTGACCATTTGACTAAGTGAAGCATTCAATTCTCTCTTTCTGTAAGTTATGATGTTTCTATTGTAGAATCTCTGAATTTACAAATCTTTTAAGCCCTGATGCTGCCTGGTACATGGGGCCATTCAAACTAAGTGAACACGTGAGCTGCCCTCCTCAACATAAGCAGGAGTATGACTAGTTCAAACTGAGCGCCCGTGTTGGTGGAAGGAGAATGAGGTCTGGGTGTGACAGACCTCTGTGCAAGTCCTGGCTTAGCTGCTCCTTTCTGACCCTCCTGCATTGATTAAGTTAACCTCAGCTTCACACGTGTATCATAGAAATATTATTAAAATTGAAGTAAGTTAGGGTATACTTAAGGTTTGTAAAAAATCCTATTTATACAACTTATTCATCTCTCCCATTCCCCTTTAATAATATTTAATAAAGACTCTCTTACCTTTTACTAACACTTGGAATTACTATAAATCTTCTATGGACATAGATATCAATGACTGCTATTTATTTATTTATTTATTCATTGATTGATTGATTGATTGATTGATTGTGAGATTTGCTTGCTATAGGGTATGTGTGCCCCTCAGAGAGACAAAGAGATGGAAAGCAGACAATCACCCCCCCCGGGGGTTGCCACAATGCAATCCCTTCTCCTCCATTCTTCTCTTGGGATTCTGAGCATGCACTCACACACACACCCCCAGCGTGAGTTTCAAGCCCTGGGTCCATCACTTGAAATATAGTTGACCATATGAGAGTCCAGCACCTTAACCACTATGACACCTGCTGGCCCTTCAACTACTGCTTTTTAAAGAAGCTAAATTGGTTAGGTAAAGAGATTATCCCTTTAGTTTGAAAATCATTACCACTCTTAGAGGAAAGAATAAATATCCGTGCAAGCATAATTTGGTTCCTGAGCCTTCTGAATATAATGCATGATACTATTTATGACTTCACTAATTAACTCTGCAGTCACACTTGAAAACACCATTTTGTATACCATAAAGATGTACAGTGATTAAATGAAAGAAGGAAAAAATATGAGGGTATATGAGATCCAGAATCCCCAAACTTGGATACTAACTCCTGATTAATTTTTTTCTAGCATTTGTGTGAAATATTTTGTTTTATTTTGCAATTTCTTATTTACATCTAATTTACATTTAATGCACATCTTTCTGGGGCATGAGATGGATCTGCAAAGCATGCCTACAGTGCGCAAAAATTGAATGAAAGATACTACCACATTCATTGTCTTCAACGAGGATATACGTATCCTTTGATAGATGTATCCTTTGATAAGCCCCTAAGCTCACACTCACTATCCCCTGTGCATCCTCTGGTATCCACAGTTGTCCTTTCTGCTTCTGTCTTCAAATCTTTCCAATTCTCCCATAGGGTGCAGAGATTTTGTATGTATTGAGTGAGGACATATAGTGTTCAGAAGATATTTACGAGTCTACATTTACTGCAGCATTATTTTTAATAGCTAAGATATTGTATCAACCTAAGTGCTCCACAACTGATGACTGGAATAAACAAAAACTTTTAAAACATTAAAATGCATGAAGGTTTGTAAAAAAAAAAAATCATATACATGCATAGTTATATTGACACATTATTTTTTACTTAACACGCAACATTTTTCTCTTTATTTTTAAAATAATGTGTCCCTAAAATTTAGATAGAACTATAGATATAGATCTTTTCTTCTCATTTCCGTGAAGACCACTTTATCAAGAACTGAACAATACTTTAGCATCTAACTGAAACAAAGACTAACACAGAAACAAAGGTCTGTGGTAATTTTTATTACTTAATTGTTATACTTGTTAATTTTAAATGAATTAACATCTGATACTTAAAAGTACACTAAAAATTATTGTTACAAAATATTTTACCTGTTATTCTTCCCAGTTGACCATGAAACATCTTTCCAACAAATCCACTGATATGAGCCCCTAAGCTCACACCTATGAAATGAAAATTGTCAAGAGACGCTCCATGCTTCTGCAATTGAAAATGCAGTGTTACGATTTTCAGTTCAATTCATCAGAAATTATACCTCATACATTGACATCCTAAAATTTGTTTTTCATTATTGTTGTTTAATCCATGCTACCCACATAGGATCATCACTTTATCCAGAAGTTGGTACAGGTAGAGTTATTTTAAAAAAATGAATAGATTATTAGATAAAAATATTAAGATAATTTAAAAAATAAGATAGGTCACATCTAGAGATAGAATTATCCTTTTCCACAGACAAAGGAAATATGGCTACATGTATTAGTATATCAAAACTGTTTGTGGGAAAAAATGCATTTATTTTATTACTACATTGTGGTATTATATAGCACACTATATGCTGGATAACATGTATAATGTATAAGATTTTCAGACTTACCAAAAGATTTTGAATGTATCCATTTAAACTCTTGGCAACTTTTCTGGTGTTTTTAACAGCTCTATTATAAATAAAAGTTGTAGCACCACGGTTCCAGTCCACTACAATTACATTTATATCTTCTTCAGTCAACAAAACCTTCAGAAATTTCTGAAGCCATGATGGGGTGGCACCCATTGGTCTGTATCCATGGATCAGCCAGACAGTTTTCTTTTGTGGGTTGAAATTAACATTAAGTGAGTTATTGTGCTCAAACAGTGGCTCAGCACAATTTAGGTTGTTCCTTGTGTACATCATCAGAAATATTTTTATTCTAGGAATAAACAAATCTCTGAAAGAATCCTTTACAGTTAGCTGAGAGAATTCAAGGCATGGTCTTTTATTCTCTGAAATAAAAGGGGGGGAAAGGCAGTCAAGGTAAGCTAAACACTGGAGTAGTATTTGATGCTTGTTGCTGTTATAAAGTAACAGTTAAATTAGGAAGGTAGGAAGGATTTTATTTCATTAGAACTTCAGCATAATCTATTGAACAGCTTCTATGTTTGAAGTAATGCACTGATGTAAAAATATTTTCTGAACTGGAGTAATTAAAAAACTACAGTGGAAGTGGAAAATATAAACAAATATGGTTGGTTAAGTATTAAGAATTATTTATCTGTGCAAAATAAAAAATAAGAGCAGTGATTATGACTGAAATCAATAATATTGTCAAAGAAAGTTTTATATATTGCAATAAGAGTAGATAAATTTATTGTGAACTTCAGGAGAGATTTTACAGATGAGTATATATTTATCTTACTTGTGATTAAATGAACAGAAATCAAAATAATATGGTATCTTATTTTCCCTATGAAGCTTTTAAAACTAGAAAAATCTTTTTGATACCCAGTGCTAGGAAGGTAAATAAAACAAATATTCATATATGCTTACGCCCTCTGTTTCATGTATCTCTTTTATATAACAGTGAAAGTTCATATAATTTTTCTTTTGAGATATGGTATATATGTGTGTATCTGTGTGTTGTTATTTAAATAACAAAAATATTCATTTTTCTTGGTTTTCTTCTTAGAATTTGTGTTAATAAAATGAATATTTTGTATTAAATGTAAACATATTAATCACAGAGTTATGTTTTAATGGCATGTAAATATAAAACACCCTTAAAATTACCATTGCAGGGAGAGCTGATAGTGTAATGGTTATGTCACTGGACTTCCACATAGTCGACCGCAGTTCAAGTCCCAGACCCAGTGGATTGAAACACTGGGTGCATGTGCGTGCATGCCCAAGATCCCAAGAGGAAATGGGATTCCAGCATGGCCATACCCTCTTGTGGGTGGGGGAGTAGGGGTGATTTCTTGCTTTCTGTCTCTCTCTGTCTCTCTGGCAAGCACATTCATCCTACAGTAAAGAATCTCTAGAAAAAACAAACACAAACAAAAAACTCATGCTGGGTACAAGTGTGGTCATGCCCAAAATGCCAAGAGCAGAATGGAGAAGACATTGTGGTGTGGCAGTGTGACCACTCCCCCTGGGAAGTGATTTCTTGTTGTCTGTCTGTCTCTCTGTCTCTCTGTCTCCCCAGCGAACACACACACCCTATCGCAAAAACCTCTCTCTATAAAAAAAAAAGAAAAAATGTATCATTGTAATATTTTCGTCCACGTGTACATTGTATCTGTAATCTGTCTATTTAGCCTACCAGGAGCTAGGGCAGAAAATCGAATAACTAAGCCAGGACCAGAGCAATAGCTACAGCTTGGCAGGGACATCATGGCTAGCTTTTATTTCATTTTATATAGGTTTCCTAAGTCTGATTTTTTTAAATGAAAATGTATACTTGTATTGCTTATTTCTTAATATTCTTTAATTTGGTAGGACTATTTGGCAAAGCAGTTAAAAATACATATAACAAATTTACAAAAGGGTCGGTATGTTTCATTCTAGTCATTGCATATTTTAGAACCTATTCCAATAAAAAAACAGCAAAACGAACTAATGTATTATTTGAATACAGAGATAATACGCATTGCTTACAATGGTTCTAGTCGTGAAAGTACGCATGTGATAGTGTCCCAACTATTTATAAGAGGAAAAAGGAGAACGACAATGAGGGAAAAGTGAGACCTGCATTCAGCTCCCAGGTTAACAGCGGAGAGGTATCTGGACAAGTTAAACCTCGATACTCTGTTTATTCCATGTACCCTGGAATGAGGAAGTGGAGAGGAGGAACAGACTGAACTACAGTGCAATTTGAATGTTTGTTATACTGTGTAAATTGTGTAGAGAACAGTGTACCTCTACCTGCCAGCCAGCTAAAACTTGGATAAAGGCCCAATGTAATCAGTCCATCCAAATAGCTGATCTGCTACAAGACAAGGTGGATTTCACCTGGTACTAGAATGGGTAGTGAGGAATAAACCAGTAGAATCTCTATGACAAAATAAGAAAATAAATTATCACTCAAAACAATCAGGACAGAAATACTATGTATTGTCAGATATAAAGTCATTGCATAAAATGCTACAGAATCCTTATTAGAATGCAAGAAAATAAATACATCTTAAAAATAGGAATTGGATGTCAATAAGGGAAAGTTTATTAAATAAAAAACAACAGGGTCAGATAAAAAAAATAGGATAGTAAAAAACTCCAATTCAGGGAAATTAAAAGTGTAATTACAAAATAAAAATCCATGTAAATGCCAAAACAAACATGGAAAGCCCTTTGGGCGGTAAGAAATGAAGACCGAAGGATATTAAAATGATAAAGGGACGTATAGACATAGCAGGGTATTATGATTCAGAATAAATGCTGTTGTCACTCCTCGGTGTGGGAGTACATGCGGGAGAGGAGGTGGCAGCAGCTAGAATAGCAAAGAAAATAATTGCACACAAGCATTTGAAACTGATAAGAATCACCAAAATCTAGAAAAAAATTCGTTCGTCGGACTCACCGAGACACTTCCTAGATACTGGTTTGGATTTCAATGAAAGAGAAAAACATCCTGAAAATATCAAGGCAGAAAATCAAGGTCACAAACAGAGGAGTGAAATTATAGTGACTTCGTATTTCTGCTCTAAAACAACACATCAGTCACATACACCTGTAATGAATGAAGGGGAAACGAAAGGGGTGTGATATTTTATACCTTTCCTACAGTTCATTTCTCATAAATGACGTAGTACCGTTCCTGGCATCGTCCCTCTTAAATAAATGTTACCTTAGTGAAGCCAAGATTCCTAGAAACTCCCAGTATAAAAAGACTGAAAGTGAGCATGGAAGCATGTTAACACTGATTTAAGTTGAAAAGTCATAAAGCTGGGTAAAACATAAGTGCAATATCATAGCATAAAATAAGGACAAAAAAAATTTTAAGTAATAAGCATTTTAAATAAGTAAAATAGAAGTGAAATACTCCCTATTTCACATCAATAATGATTATGGTATTAATGATAAAACACGGGACCAGCAGTTAGCGTAATGGCTATGTCGCTGGACTCCCATGTAGTCGACCGCAATTCGAGTCCTGGACCCAGTGGCTTAAACTCACGCTGGGCGCATGTGTGTGCGTGCCCAAGATCCCGAGAGGAGAATGGAGGAGAAGGGATTGCGGCGTGGCCATCCCCTATGGGGGGTGATTTCTCACTTTCTATCTCTCTGTCTCTCTCTTTCTGGTGAGCTCATGTGCCCTATAGTGAAAACCTCTCCAAAAAAAAAGAAAAAAAAAAAAGAGAGAGAAGAGAAATGATAAAACATTAGTGACTTATGACTGAAACTGAAAGGTTGGATGGTATAACACCAAGGAGGGAAACTGAAGATACTAGAAACACTATCAGAGGGGGTGGGTAACAGGAAGGGAGGGAAGGGATCAAGGGAAAAAATATAACAGAAACAATAAAGAAAAGTTATCTTTGATGATGATGTACATGGTTATATTTATAATTTGATTAATATGCATAGTATCCATGGTGGGAAAAGCTATTTTATATTGTGTAAAGATGTACAGTGATTAAATATGTACAAAAAAAGAAAAGGGCATTGCTAGCCCATTATATAACTCTAAAATGAAAACAAACAAACAAGCAAAACAAAACAAAAACAAACAAATCAAAAGCTAATAGAATGATTATCAAAGGTGCATGATATAGTGTACTATTCTTTGTTGGTGGTGGTGAGTAAGTTTATATTCTTGATTTGATTATCACACATTGCATGCATGCTTTGAAAAACTATACTATACCCCACAGATAAGTACGATGATTGAATGTGAGAAATTATAATAAAAAGTAATAAAAAAGACATAAGAATGAATTAATTAAGAAAGTATAAAAGCATCTGCTATCATACTATGAATTATTTCCTAATATTCTAATTAAACAATGAGAAAAAGATAGATGGTACCAGCAGATGGTGTAATGGTTACATTGCAGGATTCCCACATAGTCCACGTGGTTCAATTGGTTCAAGCTCCAGACCCAACAGCTTAAAATTCATGCCAGGCACATGTGCATGCGAGCCCAAAATCTTGAGAGGAGAATGGAGGAGACTTTGTGGTCATCCCCCTGGGGGGTGAATTTTTACTTTCTGTCTCTCTGTATCTCTCTAGTTCCCTGGTGAGCGCATGTGCCATATAACAAAAACCTCTCTTTAAAAAAAAAAAAAAAAAAAAAGGAAGGAAGGAAGGGAGGAAAGGAGGACGGAA